ATGGTACTATTAAGAAAACCAGTTTTAACTTAAATTATAGAAATGCTAAGGAACTTTTCTTAAAGCCAGGAAACAGGTTAGGATTCTGTTCAAATGGTAGGTGCATGAACCTATCAGTCTCATGTACTTTATCTTCTGTTTTGGTTCCATTTTTCCTATTAAATTCTGGGATATAATATTCAACTTCAAACTTGTCCCTATGATTAAGCTGGGCACTTTTTTAGTTTTTGAACTCTTCTTTCCATGTGTCTGTATTTAATTTTCCTGATATAGCACACCCTTGAGAACTTCTTGGAGAGCTGGTCTGGTGCTGGTAAATTCTTTCAGGTTTTGTTTATCTGAGAATGTTCTTGTCTTTTCTTCCTACATGAAAGATAATCTTGCCAGGTACAGTATTCTTGGCTGAAATTGCCTTTCTCTTAACACTGAATATATTGCTCGGGGATCGCATAACTAGTGGTATTTGGTTCCTCAACCATTAGAACAATGGAGCCAGCCTCAAATATTATTTTCAATATAATAATATATCTATTCTAGAAGTTTTGAAGCAATTCCCATAGGAAATACACAATGAATATGAATATAGATGACTTTTTCTTAATATCACTTGTTACAAAACTGAAAGGAGTACTTTGACAGAGTGCAATACATAATATTTTTGTTAAATTTTGACATAATGTATCAATATTTATGTCAATATGTTGTCTACATAAATGTTTAAGTGCTGTCTCTTTGTTAATTGCTATCCTATCTTACTAGGTAACTTTGGAAACTTACCAAATTTTGTCCACACAGTCCTTTTTTCCATACACAGAAGTTCTTTTCTTGACATTTCATCAGTGTTCAAAGCAGAGACAAGTAATCTTAAAATGTTAACAGAAAAGAACATTTAATCAGATAGACAACAGCTGTGATTTTATCAAAAATCTTCTCAGTTTTGCTATAATTGAAATTTATGTCATTCAACAGATTCTATTTTTCTAATGTTCGTAACATGTCAGGCTTTAAAATATTGAACATTGTCAATACAGAGGGAAACTATCTGTTGACATTTATTTTTAAGTGGTCAAAGAGCACAATACAATACTGTCTTTAAACTGTATCTCCAACTAACAGAATTTTGAAGTTGTTCTGTAGTACAAGAGATCATGCTAATCTCTTCTACATAGTCATATTATATTTCTAAATGCCTAGCTCAGAATTAAAACAGTTCTGCAGGCCACCACTTGGCACGGGGTATGGAAACTACAGACAAGAGGACAGACTGCACAGCTGTTTGGTTTACTCCACTTAGCACTCTCCTGTAGGTCAGATAGGGTTGGGCACAGGACTCAGAAGATTCTTTCCAAGACCTCTTCTCACTGGAGTGGCGCCCACTCGAGAAGGTTTGAGGCTGAAGGCCAGGGAAAGGCAGAGTACTACCAGTTCAGAAATGTTAATTAACATTTTCACTGAACTCTACAGGGCATATTATTATAGTAATCCAGTGTTTTCTTTGTGATAAATGCTGTGGGAACAAAGGGTCCTTCACTACCATATTAGGGATGTCCCTTATAAACACATCACCATCTTACATAAACTTCTCTTTTTTTCTACTCTCAAAAAACAGCACCTATATGGAAAATATATCTTTTTATAATCATTAAAAATATTTCAAATTGCCTCTCTATGAACTCTTACCTTAATTCTAAAGTAAGAGTAAGTGAAACTTCATACAGCAATTCTCATTGCTGAGTTTATGATGCTGGTTTAAAACTGCCTGAGTTAGCCAGGTGGTATGGTGGTTAAGGCAGCTGGACCTCACATGGCCAACTGTATGATTCGAGTCCCAGACCTGGCAGATTGAAAAACATGCCAGTTGCATGTACATGCTTGTCCCAGATCCCCAGCATGTGTGCCCAAAATCCTGAGAGAGGAGTGCTTGCTCTTGCTCCCTCTTTCTCTCCAGCAAGTACACATGCCCTATGGCAAATTTTGAAAAATAAAAAATAAAAGTGCTTACAAGTTTAGAAATGGAATCTGTCTTCAGAGAAAATTGTACTCTATTTGCAAATGCATACTAGTACTACTTGCCTGTAGATGAAAATCACTTTGTTGTGTCTTATGTGTATTCATCATAAACTTCTTCATAGTAGAGACTTATCTTACTCACCTGTATGTTGTCTGGTGGAGAGACTGGCATATAGGTGTTCAGTAACTAGCTGCTGAGTGAGTGAATAAATGAATCCATTTATCTTTAGAATATAATTTGAATATATTATGTAAGTGCTCACTTATATAAAATCAATTAATATCAGGAGCTGGATCATTATACATTTTCTCCCTATACTAAATTAAAGTCTTTCGTTCTTGAAGTTTCTCATTGGAAAATGGAAAAATGTTTCCTATGGCACATTTTATAATTATTACTATGTAATCATCTATACTCAGTTTGTGCATGGTGAAGTTTCTGATTGTGATACATCACCATAAAAATCCATATTGCTAGGTGTTCTAAGTAATCTAAAATGCTTGTAAGACAAGGTGATGGGCTCAGTAACTGAGGTATAAGTAGCTCTGTCATGAAATAGCATATCAGACTTGGCAGCAATTCATAGCCTGGTCAGACCTCAAAACACTGGTCCATGTGGAACCTGGAGTGCTTCCCTACATTTTGGAGAAGAATTGATAAACCTTACTGGGAATGTAGGAAGGATTTTAACAACAAGAAAAATGAACTGGATCTTGTTTTATAAAATTCAATGACTGATCTTATCTTACTAGTTCTTTCACAAGCACTCCATTTACTTAGGAAATCGCTCTCTTTTTTTTTTTTTGGATATAAGGCAGTGAGCTCTCCGGAAAGACAGAGAGAGACAGAGAGACAGAAAGCGAGAAACCACTCCCCTCTAGCACTTACCATTTTTAAAAAAATTTTAGTCATTCTGACCGGGGTTATGTTGTATCTCATTGTGGTTTTGATCTGCATCTCCCATATGATGAAGGATGTTGAACATTTTATCATATGCATTTTGACTGTTCATATATCTTCCTTAGAGAGTTGTTTTTTCAGCTCATTTTCCCATCTTTTAATTGAGTTGATCATTTTCCCCCCTCAGGTAAGTCACTTGAATTCCCTGGTTATCAGTCTCTTATCTGAGGCATAGTTTACAAAAACATTTTCCCATTCCAAGGGTTGTCGATTCACACTCATTACTGTCTTTTGCAGTGCAGAAACTTCCTAATCTGATGTAATCCCACTTGTCTAATTTTGGAATTATCTATTGTTTTCAGCATCTTATTTAAGAAGTCTTTGTCTACTCCAGTGTCTCCCAGAATTTCCCCAGTGTTTTCCATCAGTAGTTTTATAGTTTGTGGTCTTAGGTATAGATCTGTGATCCACTTTGAGTTGATTTTCATCAATGGTGAGGTTAGAGGTTCAGATTCACCTTT